GAGCACTTCCCGGCGTGACGGTACCGGGATGAGGTTCAGCGGCTCCCGCCGCCGCGACCAGGGTTTGGAGTCGGTGCCAGGAGCCCGGGGGAGGAGGGGGGGACACTGTGGGGAACACACAGCACCGCGGGGAACGTGCTGAGGGCGTCCACATCCCAAACCGGGGCGTGCGGGAGCGGCGGTCGGCCCTGGGCAGCGGGTTAGCTTTCCTCTTTTTCGGCCGCCTCCTCCTCCTCCTCCTCTTTCTCCCCTTTGAGTTTTTGGCGAGCGAATTCCTCGATGACGATGTCCTCCTCGCTGGAAGGGAGAGCAGAGCATGGTGAGCCCGGGATGCACCGAGCAAAGAGGGAGGAATCCCTGCTGACACCCAGAGCCTGGTGCTGCGCACCCCGGCCCCGTCACCCCGCACGCCCCAGGGAGCGGCAGGTCACCGCCAGCCACAGCCCGACCCCAGCACAAATCCGGGACTCGCTGCCAGCGTGCGTGACCCGAGGAGCCGGGCAAGAGCAACTGCAACTTTTGGCGGTTTTTAAGACAATATTTTTTGCATTGTCAAGGGGGAAAAAGGGAAGGAAAAGAAATTAAAGTGGAGACAAAGAGATTAGTTACCTCCTTGCGAAAGGCGAGCGGCAGATGACATCAAGGGAGAGCCACAAAATGAAAAGTGGGGGAAGAAAATGGAAAAAAAAGAGTCAGCAAAACCGATTCCAAAAGCTTGCGAATGTGAAACGACTTGGCAAAAATCTACAGGGAGCGATGGTGGGGACAGGCCAAGAGATTTCCTCCTCGGGAAGTTTAAATAGCCTCGCTGAGCTGGGAAACAGATAGGCTTTGGTGTGGAAGCCTTGCAATTGCAGCCTGAGTTTCCAGGCTCCAAATCCCAGCGCTCGTGTCCCGTTGCAGGGTGTAACCAGACACAAAACAGCCTTTGGGGGCTTCGCAAGCCGGGGCCGGCTGCGGGGCTGGTTGGCGGCCGTGGCTGCCAGGAATGGGTTTGGCACACTGCCCCTTCCCAGAGGGAAGCAACCCCAGCTGTGGCTTCAGCTGGAAGAAGCCCATGGGGCGGGAGGAGAAGAGGGCTCCAGCCCTGGGGAGCGTGCGGGGCCATGGGGCTGTGACCAGCGCCGCTTCCAGCAGCCAAGGGGCCTCAGCGTGGGGCAGATGGGGACCGAGGCCGTAGGGGACATGATGTCCAGCAGTGACACTTGTGGCTGGGGGATGGAGCACTGCTGGCTGCTTGCGAGGGATGAGGCGAGGGCTGGGCTTGCAGCAGAAGAGGCTGCTGTGTTTGTGCAAAGAGAGTTGTAAAATAAGCCCCGGAAAGTTGCAGAACACATGCCGAGCCCAGCATTGGAATCCTTCCAGCTCCTGGTGCCTGTGCCACCACGGAGGGTGTCATGATGGCTGCTGTGGCATAGGGGCTCAGGACTTTGAGACCTGGATGATTTAATCCAAGGGTGTGATCTCAAACTGGAATGGAGCATCACAGCCATCTGTGACGGATCCATCGCATCCATCTGCAAAGGATCTGGGTGGTTTCTGTGCTAGAGGGAATACTGGCTTGAGGTATAAGGAAACATCCAGAGGGACCTGGGCAGGCTGGAGAGGTGGGACCGTGTGAACCTCATGGAGTTCAACACAGCCAAGTGCAAGGTCCTGGCCATGGGTCGGGGCAATCCCAAGCACAAATCCAGGCTGGGCGAGGAGTGGATGGAGAGCAGCCCCGAGGAGAAGGACTTGGGGGTGCTGGTGGGTGGAAAACTGCCTGTGAGCCAGCAACATGCGCCGGCAGCCCAGAAACCCCCCCCGTGTGCTGGGCTGCACCCAGAGCAGGGGGGGCAGCAAGGCCGGGGGGGGATTCTCCCCCTCTGCTCTGCTAGACCCCCCTGCAGGGCTGGGTCCAGCTCTGGGGGCACCAACAGCAGAAGGACACGGACCTGCTCCAGCGGGGCCAGAGGAGGCCACGGAGATGCTGAGGGGGCTGGAGCCCCCCTGTGAGGACAGGCTGGGAGAGTTGGGGGGTTCAGCTGGAGGAGAGAAGGCTCCGGGGAGACCTTAGAGCGGCCCCCCAGGGCTGAAAGGGGCTGCGGGAAAGCTGGGGAGGGACTCTGGATCAGGAGGGTAGGGATAGGATGAGGGGTGACGGTTTTAAACTGAAATGGGGCAGATTTAGGTGAGATCTAAGGCAGAAATTCTCCCCTGTGAGGGGGTGAGGCCCTGGCACAGGCTGCCCAGAGAAGCTGTGGCTGCCCCCTCCCTGGAAGGGTTCAAGGCCAGGTTGGACGGGGCTTTGGGCAACCTGGGCTGGGGGAAGGTGGCCCTGCCCGGGGCAGGGGGTGGCACTGGAGGGGCTTTGAGGTCCCTTCCAACCCAAACGGCTCTGTGATTCTATGATTCTGTGATCTCTTTACCTTGGCTTATCTGTAGTCCATCAATAAGCAAAGCACAGGGAGGCAAGGATTGAGAGACACACACATGCAGGTTAACAGTACAGAAAGGACATTGCAGTTAACAACTCTTCTCAATACTCAGGTGTTTTTCTAGAGAGACAGACATCAGGATGGGTGGCAGCTGGGGCACCACGGGGAGCAGAACTGCTTCCACGGTTGGTCCCAGACAGGGTGGCTGCCGGGCAGAACAGGGCCCTTTGCACAGAGGCAGCCGTCCTGGTGTAGTTTTTACCAGTTCCCCTCTGAACAGGCTCTGCCTCTTCCTCTCCCTCATTTCAGCAGCACCCCAAGCACCACTTACCGTCCGCAGGCTTCGGGTGCATCAGGATGACAGGCAGCTCGACACCCACGTCACTGGAAAGAAAAATTTCTTTCAATAAACTCACCCAGCACCCGACTCTGCTCAGCCCCACAGGCAGCTCCCCCCTTACCTGGAAGTGAGATCCCCCAGGATGCTGCAGAGAAAGGAGAGAAATCAGCCAAGGCAGAGGAGCAATGTTAGACTTTGCTTTATAATAAGGTAGATCCTAAGATTTATAATAGGGGTGGAGGGCAGTGATGATGGAGGTGTGGGGGTCCCACAGCCCAGAGAAGTAGGACAGGGGGACCAGGGGATCCACAACACAAGTCCCTTTGTCATCTGCCCAGTGGTACAAGATCCCACAGCATGGCCCAAGGGGACGGTCCCCACCCCGGCGCCCGCAGAGCCTCACCCTCCTCGGGACACCAGCAGGTTGACCTTCACTTTGTAGGACACCAGGATGCCCAGCACCTCCTTGTCCATGCCGGGTCTCAGGCTAGGAGAGAGGCAGAGCAGAGCGGTGAGGTGGGGTCGCAGGCCCCGTCCGTTCCCCCCGCGGCAGTCCCGGGGCTGGCTCCGTGTCGTGTGGGGTGCTCTGGGGTTTCACATGAGAGGACAGCACACGGTGGCAGTAAAGGAGAGGGGAGGGTGGCTTCACTTGGCTGAAGCCATAGAGCAGTTTCTGGAGGCTGCTTGAGCTGGGATTAACTCCTGAGACGAGACCCGATAAAGCTCTGTGGAGAGTTTTGGGTGTTGAGTGGGACCGGGAGGCTACATTTCTCCTATAAAATGGACAGCTGTGTCACAGAATCCCTACATTTCCCAGCTGGACAGGGTGGACTCGGGCACAGGAGATGGGGGGGACCCTTGGTGGGAGCTCAGAGGGGGGAAGGTGTGGGTCCAGCCATGGTGGGGGAGCAGGGGGAGCCCACCCGGCTCTTACACAGTGCTGGAGGCCAGGTTGGTGTCCTCGTGCTTGAGTTTTCCATCGAGAGCGAGGCCTTTCTTCTCCCGGTTGGTGGAGAGCATGGGGGTGACGGAGTACGTTTTGGAGAAGGTGGAGTTAGCTGCCACGTTCTCGCTGGAAGGGGTGGAAGAGGAGAGCTCAGAGCCAGCACCAGCCTGGAGGGTGCTCAGCAGAGCCAGACACCCCCGACCCTGCCCTCCCCACGCAGCTGCCTGGGCCCGTTTCCTCCTTTCGTTCCCTTATACAACCACTTCTTTTTTTTCTACCCACCACCTTCCCTGCAGCCCTCCTCGTTTTCAGGGGTGCAGAGTCTGTGGCTGGCCTCAGAAATGCAAAGCAAGGAGAGGAAGCAGCCGGAGGCGGGCGGGGGGACACAGCTGCTCACCTTCCCCCAGGACCTCCCCAGCCAACACTGGCTTGCACCGGGGGCCAAGGCGTCCAGAGCCTTCCCTCTCCTCTGCTTCCTCTGCATCTGCTCTTCTAACCCTGATATTTTTGCTGCCTGGTGTAAAACCGTCTTCCCCACCCCCTCTCCCCATCACTCTCCCCTCCTCCTCCTCCTCTCTCTTCCTCCCTCTCACCACGATGCCATGCTGCTCCTGCCCCTTTTGACTTACTTTATCTCCTCGGTGCACACAGTCTTTGTGTATTTATCCAGCGAATAAAGGACCACATCTGTGATCTGATCAACTGAGGAGAGACAAGAGGGAGCAGCGTTGGTGACGCGGCAGAAGCACAGGCACGCTGTCCCCATCTCTGACGGGGAGGCCAGGACGTGCCCCTCCTGCCCCCTCTCACCCGAGATCTTTACTTTTTTCACAATCTTGTTGGTCGCGTTGTTGATATTGACAGTCACGTTGATGGGGTCTCCGTGGTAGTAGATCTGCAGTGGGAAGAGGCTTGGTTACACATCCGGGCATCCCGGTCCCCGTCCCTGGGGACAACACGTGGTGGCATGAGCCAGGGGCCATCCCCCATACTGACCTCCTTATCCAGGGAGGCTTCGAGGTGCAGGGGCTTGTCAGACATCATGAACTGCCGCGTGGTCTCCGACTTCGGGGGTGGCCCCATCTTCAGGGGTGCAAACTGGATCTTGCGGATGATGAGGCGCACCGAGTTCCTGTGGGGTGAGAAGCTGTCACCCCCAGTCCCCCCAGCAGGGACGTGATGACACAGCCTTTGCGGGGGACATGTCAGCTGTCTTTGGGGACATCGCGGTGTCTCAGGCCAAAGGGTGCAAGCGTGCTCTTAGGACAGGGTGGGCTCCAACACGAGGACCACTGCCCTTCCTTTGGGCAACGTACCCATCCAGCGTGGCACAGGCTGATAGCAGGTCCTCAGCCCGACCCCTGAGCTGGCCACCCCAAAACCCTCTGCTTGTTTGGGTTTTGGGCCACGGGAAAGGAACGGGATCTCCCTCAAATACCTCTTGTGAATTTTCTCCTCCAGATTTTCAGCACAAAATCCTTTGACCTCGAAGTCCACACCACAGGCCTGGGGAGGAACATGTACAGTCGCTAAGGAGGAGGGGTTCAAAGCTGCCTGAGGTTTAGGTTCATTCCTCCACTGCATCCCCAGAGATCCTGGTCTCAGGTCCAGCCATCCTTCCTCCCCCAACCCTGACCCCAGGAGCCGTGTCCCCACAAAAGAGAAGCAGCTCCCCACAACTTAACCCTCTGCCAGGGCCAACGGGTCCAGGGGACAGGGGTTGGGCAGAGCAGCTCACCTTTCCCACATCATCTGGCCCTGGCTGGAGAGTGACCGAGCAGGGCAGGTTGGTGGCCATCTGGGCAGAACAGGGAAAGAGAGAAAAAAGGTGAATAAAGAGCATGTGCAGAGATGAGCCCTGGTGCAGTCAGGAAGGGCTGAGCAGCCCCTACCTCAAAGGTGAAGGGGTAGGCATTCTCCCCCAGCTTCTTCAACAGCTTCTCCTGCAAAGGAGTGAGGGTTTTGGGTGCCTGGTCCGGCACCGGTGGGAAGATCTGGGTGGTCAGGACATAGAGGTCCTTCCTGAAGGTCAACCCAATAACGTCGAGGTCATCTCGGCCGTAGCGAAATGCGCAAGTTAGAGTCACGTAGACTGGAGCCGGGTGGGAAGGGAGAGGAGTGGGGTTAGGGGAAGGGTGAGACAAAGGGTTGAGAAAAGAGGAAAGAAAGAAAAACATGCTTTAATAATGCTTTAGGAGAAATATGACCCTGTTATCGGGACCCACACCTCAAAACACCAAGTTACCAAGATTCATCACATCTTTCTGCAAGGCACGGGGAGCTTCAGAGCTGCCCCAGGCAGAAGAGGTGAGAAGAAAGAGGCAGCTTTCCTCTCCGGGTCAGCCGCTGTCTCCCTGCTGCGCTATATGAGCTATAGATGACCCATCCCAGCTCTAACCTGGCTACAGCCCCAGCTGGCTTGTGAGCTTGGCACTGTTTTTCACCCCTTCCCCTTCTAACGTGGGGTTTTCTGTATTATTACCTTTCCTGTCCTTTAGATACTCCGGGTCGATCAGGCAGACGCCATCTGCAAACAAACAGAGAAGAAGGGCCGGTGAGCTCAGCTGCCTGGGAAATCCTTGCAAAAACACTGCGCTTTTAAAATTCAAATAATCTGCTTGTCAGCTGGGAAGGGGACCGAGGGGAGCTGCTGCTCAGGGGGATGGCGATGCCTCCTCCAGCATCAACACCAGCAGCGTAGAGGGGTTGTTTTGCAAAGGGACTTTGTCCCTTTCCCCACCATTTTTATTTTTTTTGTAAGGAAAACAGGATGTTTGCTCCTCTGGAGCTGCCCTTGTTCCTCCTGCTCCGGTGGGAAGCTGAGGTGAGCAGCCACCAGCACAGGACCAGCTTCCCTGGCCGCTCGCTGCCTGGGCTTCCCCCTCCGTGGTGGGCACAGCCCCACTCACCTACGGAGTCCACCGACTCCACGTGATCCACAAAGTCTCTCTTCCCCAGGTAGATGGACAGCTGGAGGCAGCACACGGTGAAAGGAAAGAAGGAAACATGTTAGTGTTTGCCATTGAATCGGCCAGAATTTTCAAGCCCTGGGTTGTGTCGTGGGGCTCATTAACCTGCTGTTAGTGTGTCAGGCCAGGCACTGCATTTAGAAGTTCATACAGTTGGGTTTTTTAATTTCTATTTTGAAAAATGAGCCCTGCGGTGTCATCATACAGGTATAGCAGGAGTCAGTTTGGAGATTTCAAAGGGAAGGGAAACCCAGCCTGTGTCCCATCCCAGGGGCAGAGCCACCCCGCAGGATCCCCGCAGAGCTGGCACCTTGGGCTGACCCACACCCCGGGACGGGGTGCACGGTCCCACCTCTGCGCGCGTGGCCTCACCTTGCTGTTGGGGCTGGTCTTCTTGAACACCCTGCGGAGGAAACGCAGACATACGGGTTGGGAACGCTCTGGATGAGGCACAGCCTGCTCCTGCCCGGCCAGGGAGGGAGGGGGTGGCCATTTGTCTCCCTGGGACGAGGAGGGGGGGGCTTCCCGTGATGTGTCTCCAAGAGCTACACCAGAGCCTGCACGGGGTGTCCTGGCCTTGGGGAAACCCGTGTCCTGCAAATTCAGAGCCAAACCCACCCCATGTGGCTGCCCCAGGTGATGTCATGCTCCTGAGCTTGGTGCGGGGGCATGAAGGAGGGGGTGTGTGAGCAGGCTGCGTCTTACAGGCAAGCGAGAAAACACCAACACGCAGAAGAAAAGAGAAGATGCTTTGCTGGCCCTGTGGCAGGTCGCTCCATCCTGCTACGGTGAGCTCACGTACTGGTCAGTGGGTTCAGCGGGTTGGGGGGGGGTGCTGGGGGACTTTCTCCCACTGCTCCTGCCGCATGGTGCCCTGCTCCATCCCAATTAAAAAATAAAAAGAAGAAAAAAGCCACTTACTTTGGTCCTTCAGCCATTTTAAGTCAGCAGCCACGCACGTGGGGATCTGTGCGGAGAGATGGGGGAAAAACGATGGGCGAGGTGGTGGGGAAGGGGCAGCTGCCAGCCAGCGCTACAGAATCGTTTATGTCCCAACAAACGGCAGGGCTGGGGCACTGCTGGGCCTTTCGCCTTTGCGGGGTTCAGCTGGGGCTGCCCCACTCCGGGGCCACGCACAAGGCCCGTGGCCAGTGGCTGGAGACCCGGCAGGGGCAGCTGGGCTGAGCAAGCCCTTTGCATCCGCCCGAAAAATGTGGCGAAGAGGAGGTGGGAGAGTGATGCTGCAGGCAGGCAGGCTCCAGAAAATAGGAAGCACAGGGGTGACTCCCAAGGGAGCGAGTTCAAGGCTGGGAAAGGCAAGAAAATGAACAAAGGGGCTTACGGAGATGCAATTTTATGACTTTTTCTTGTCTGCAGGAAATTGGCTGTCATGGCTTAACGGCAGGAACGGGCTCATTTTGTCCCGTCACTCACAGGAGAGCGAGGAAACGGCAGGCAGAAAGGTCGAGGGCAGCTGGTCAGCCCCGTGGGCAGGGGGGTCTCGGGGCGCACGGCCCCTCTGTCCCCATCCCTGGGTGGCAGCACCGGAGCTGCCACCGGGAGCCCGGCCCAGGCTGCCCAGCCCTGCCCGACGGCGCTGCCTGTGTTTTACTTGCTGGAGCCTGGCATCCAGAATTAAACTGTAAATACGGCACTGATCACCAGCTGATTCGCCAGGAGATTAGACGGGATGAGCTCAGCTTCTTAAAGTTAGGCAGCTCTGACATTAGCAAAGCTTAAACCCAGGTAGGATTTTAAGCCTCGGGGGCATGTGGGCAGAGTTGCCTCTTTACACAACCTCAGAGATGCTAGGGAGAAAGAAGATACTGATCTGGGGTTAGGAGATGATCCTCTTCCCCATGGGAAAACACAGGGTTAGTCCCAAAGACAGGACCTGTGATGCCCTCGGGTGTTGCGGGACGTGAAGCTCGGGCACTCGCCCCTGCAGGGTTTTTTGGGCAGTACCCAGAGAAGGTGTGAAGGCAGCGGGAGCGGTGTGGCAGGCTTGGCCCCTTCCAGAGCTCGGGAATTGGCGATGAGGTGATGAGAGGTGGAGGAGTGAAGAGCTGAACTCCTCCTCTGCACCACTCAAGCCCCAGAGCAGGGACTTGGACCCCTCCTGGCTTGGCTAGAGCTCTACCGGCCCCTCCACCCCTGCCCTCCGGCTCACAGAATCCCAGAACCATCCGGGTTGGAAAAGCCCTTGCAGCTCCTCCAGCCCAACCATGAACCTCACCCTGACCCTTCCCAACTCCCCCAGATCCCTCAGCGCTGGGTCAAAAGATCAGCCTCACTGAAATCCTTTTGGCCACGTTTTTTCCCCCTTCAGCCCCAAACCACGCCCCTTCCAGCCACGGTCCAGCACCAATGTCCCCGTCCCCATGGGTTTTACCAAACAGCAGAATCCGTGCCCCAAAGCACTGGGAGGCAGCAGAGCAGGCAGCACTCACCTGGAAGGACAGAC